CACATACACTCTAAATTGTGTGTCTAAATGATGCCATGTGGTCTACAACTGCTTGAAATCACACCTCATTCTTCAGATTAAGGGCAAAGTGTTGAAAAGCTATAGAGACTACTAACAGGGTAATGGTATGTATTACAGTACCATGCAAAACAGAGCATACTCTTGCTTCGAAAAGGTGTTACTTCTTATAAACACACTGGAAGTGTGTTGCTCGGGAAGGGTTGCCATATTAGTATTTGCCGAGTCTGTTCATTACCCTTTGACTTTTGCAAGCTACAACAGAAAGGTTGTAGTTATAATAATACTATATAATTAGGTTGAAGTTATAATAATATACCAATACAAGTGTAACCTATTATTGTAAAAATTTAAAAATTTAAACTTTTTTAAAATAAAAACATGCATATTTTTCAGCCTCTTGCTCAAACTATAGAAAAGACGTTGCATACATTTGGAGCTTGTGTGATGAGCGAGGCAGCAACAAAAATAGGATTAAAATGAAACGCTCTCACTTTGACGTTTGACTGTTATTGTATATTATTGTTATTGTTATAATGTTATTACAGTCAGCGAGTAAGACATTGACGTAGCTCGAGGTGTGGGTTCGTTACCAGTTCTGAATGTTCAGTATGGTTAATGTTCGGAGCAGGATTATCAGATCACCTGTTGATGACATGTTCAGCATGGATCAGCATGGATTTATAACAGGCCGCCAATTGGACACAGCTAGCAGGGTCTCATTTATAAGGCGATCTAAAACTGAGACGACTGGAATTCTATTAAATATTTCCACTGACAGCACACGTCCAAAATGAGCCTGCCACAGCTGTCGGAAGGCCTGGGTTAGCTCATACCACAGAAGGCTAACGATAGTGCTGCTGGGTAAAAATCACAACCTCTGAGCCATATAGAAAACTGGCTCCATGCATGTGTTTTAGCTTGAGATTGCATGCTGGGGAACTTAATGGCTCTCAGGACCCCAAAACATATGAGCAAAGCAGTGCAATCAAACAGAAGGGGATACCGTAGGGGTGGAGCAGGCCAGTAAAGTCAAGGAATGTCGTGTTGACACTGGAGTTACTGTGTGTGTGTATGTGTGTCAATTTCAAAGAAGGGGCTCCAAGCATTTTTATGAAGGTATTAATGGGCTTGAATTGAAGTGTGTTACTTGAGAAGACTTTAGGACAGGCCATTTCAATATATCAACAGACTAACCGCAGAGGCTCATGGGTTAGGGCTGTTTTGGCCGCATATAGCTTCTGTCTCTCACTTCCACCAAGTTTTTTTCCCACCTTTTCACAAAAGTGTCCAGCAAAACAAAGAGGTGCGTATCTTCAAACCCCTGACCAGTGACAACGTTTGTTTAACCACAAAGACTATTTTGCCTTCTTGTCTGGGGGAGAACTTTGTCTTCCTTTCAGTGATTTCACAATTGCCTCATTTCCTATTTTCTCCAAGAAATGTTTTGCTTAATTGTAAGTGTTTCTATGTGAATTAGGTCATCACTGGCTGCCTTGATACTCATTAATCTCTTTAGAACTGCATTTTAAAAATCCAAAAAGATCATTCTAAATTTACACAGGTTTCTAACCGTTATTTCTAAAGGATTAAATACCCAAACTGTCTCTTCTGAGCTTAGAGCAAACAGAATTCAAATTTTAGAGAGTGCTAATACCCTCTGAGTCAAAAGACAGTACATTAGTAGCCTAATTTTACTAAAGTGGACTGGAGAAGCAAAGACAAACCTCCTTTTCCACAAGCTTATGTAGTGAAACCAAACACCACTGCCGGGTTTCCTCCACCCCGTTCAGCCCTGCCCAGCCCCCTCTATAGCCCTGTAAAAGCCATGTTATGGGAAAAAGCCATTCTGTGAGTTTTTTATGTTTGCAAAACATGGCAGAGAGGGGGGGATCAAACACATGCCCCGAAACCAAAGTGGAGGTCAGACTGAGCAATCTAAAGATGATATTTGCTGACGGGAGAAAGTACACTCTGTATTTTAGTGAACATTTGATATGCGCTTTAAATAGGTTGAGATATGGAGCTTGCTGATCCAGCATATTAACTAATTAAATTGGAGTCTGTTTGATATTACATAAACTATTATTCAAAAGTTTGGGGTCAGTAAGATTTTGTAATTAATGATTTTATTCATCAAGAATGCATTAAACTGATCAAAAGTGATAGGAATAAAAAAATAAATAATAATAAATCTAATCTAATCAAAGAATCCTGAAAAAATTGTACCATTTTTCTCACAAAAATATTAACCAGCACAACTGTTTTCAATATTGATTATAATAAGAAATGTTTCTTCAGAACCAAATCAACGTATTAAAATGATTTCTGAAGGATCGTGTGCCACTGAAGACTGGAGTAATGACAATTGGGGTAATGAACATTCAGCTTTGCCATCACAGGAATAAATGCATTTAAAATATATTAAAATAGAAAACTGTTATTTTAAATTGTAATAGTACTGTTATTACTGCATTTTACAATGTTACTGTTTTTACTGCATTTCTGATCATATAAATGCAACCTTGGTGAGCATGAGAGACCCAAATCATTTTAAAATCTTACTAACCCCAAACCTCAATTATGAAGTCAAATATATTACTTATGTTATTAAACATAACTTAATTATACTGATTTAATAATTTTGCGACAGAAAGTAATAAAAACTTTGGTGAAATGCAATGCAATGTAATGAAAAAAAAAAAACTTCTGGTATTCCAATGCACACATCTAACAAACACTAAATAAACAAAAGCGAAAGCACCAGTAAATATTTAAGTGTACAACAATATTGGTCCAGAATGTGATTCTCTTTGCAGACACACACACACACACACACACACACACACACACACAAATATGTTTGTCTGGCTAGACTGTAGTGAAGTATGCAGTTTGTTCCTATTTCGTAATGGCTTGGCTTTGAGCCGACCCATACGCAGCCTGAGAGGGATATCCCAGCGTTATTGGGAGGGAGCCAGGTTGGAATGCCACCAGGTCTAGTTTCCTGCATTCCTGCCAAAACTCTACACAACTACTTGCTTTTTTTCCTCTCCCCTCACTGTTTCTTTGACAATAAACGGCCATATGGCAACCAGTTTAACTTTGTCTCTTCCGATCCTGTCCTGTCTGGCTCTCTCTCCTATCTATTCTGTTTCCCTTTGATGAATGACTCATTTTTAATATCAGTGCAAACAGACGTTTTAAACACATCCAGCTTAGGCTTGACTAAATGAGAAATGAATTTACAATATTATAAGACCTTTAATTTGGTTTTCATAATTGAGAGTTATTTAGGTTTTTGGGTTTAGTTTTAATTAAGCAATATTGTACAGAAACATAAATGAAAGATAATGAAAACACTTTGAGCTGACTTATAAAGTTCTTTGCTTATAAAGTTCTTTTTTAAACAGGAGTCTGTATTTAGTGTTTTAATTACTTTCGCAAATACAGACACCAGGAATTTGGTCACAAAGAAGTTTAATGGCAGTCTATTTTTACATTCCTCTAAAAAGCCTTTCTTGTTTTAAGAAGGCATTTATAGCATTTAGACAGTTTTTTAAAGTGTTGAAAACAGGCAGTACAGTGGCTCCAGTCAGTCTGCCTAATGCCATCGGCATCCTTTCATTGTTTCTGCATTTCACTTGATTTGTCCAAATAGTTCAACAGCGATTACAAAATGCATGTCCTTGACTTCTGCAAAACAACATTAATTGTGTTGTGTTTTTTTAAGTAAAGTTGTGGTTGGTATTATTCTTATATGATCAAAAAAGTACAGTACATACTAACTTCTTGTCAAAAGTTTATAAATCTAAGAATAACACACAACTTCTGAAAATGAAAAACAAATGATAGATTTTATGTAAGCATATACATCACACTATTAAAATAATGTTGAAGTTGAGATCATTTTGAGGACCATTTTGTGTTTTTCTCTATTTCATAACATTAAATCAAAACAGCTGTCCTTATTCAAACTGCATTGTACCCCTTACTTTAAGCCAGTGCTTACACTAATGCAGCCGCTAATGTGCATGTCTCATTTGGCCAGGTCTCTGAATGATCTATCATAAAAAAAGAATGACAAGTCCATCCAGGCTCATTCTGTATAGATCTGTGTTTGCTTAAGAGCCTCACTCTCAGTGTATCACTCTAAATTATCCCCTGAGAATACAGTGGAGCAAAACTGCTGCAGCATAACTATAAAACATTTTTACGTATAACCCTGAATTTCCAGTGTACAGGTGTACAAGCCACCTTGAATAATTAAAACGTACCCATACCAAAATAATTTTATATAGAACAGTCAAAACCAATTAACCAGACTAAAATGTTGCATTCGTACACATCAACAGCAAAGACTTCAATAAAAACATATTTGTTCTTTATGCGCAATGCAAAAGCATGTCTTAGACTGAAATTATGAAATGGTGACAATTTAAACATTTTAAGCAATTATTTATATTTAAGCAATTAATCAATTCTTTTTTTTTTTACATTATAGTTAAATTCAAAGTAGTTGAAAAAGTGTGATTACTGCAGGTTGCCGATTTGATTTTATATCAAATGTAAAGCGGCAATTAAACAACCTTACAAATGGGATTTTTATTAGTGCAGACTGTATGTCTATGTGCTAATAATGAAACAAGATGCTGAAGCAGCGATTAAACCTGATATAGTCCAACTTAATATATAATGTCAATGCATGATGCAGGTGTCTGGACAGTATTGTTTACATTAAGATTAAGCATTAAAGTTTTAGCACTGCCTAAAAGCCTGTTGTTTCCATTGACTAATTCAGTTTTTTGATTATGATGAGAACTAGCTATGCAAGTAGTTTCACACAGGATTGAACTCAGTCTCACTTCATGCTTTTAAACTTTACACATTAGTAATCACCACAGAGTTCACCAGAGTGCACATTCAACGGTTATGAGAGCGCATTACTACAATTTATCTACAGATCTCACTCATGAACATACCTGTTTGAACTGCTCCTCATAAGTCCATTCGTGGTGCTGCGATTGTGCTTGTGGTGCCAAACCACTCGGTGATTCAGCCTGCCTTGGAGCTGGATAGGTTGGCTGGACTCTGGACAGATGTATCGGGGTACTTTTTGGAGACTGCCCGGCACCGGGATAAACAGCTAGGCGCGGTGGGTAATGAGCTAGGGGTCCTTCCAAATCTTCATCCCCTCCAGTCTCGTTCATACTGTCATCTTCCTCCAAGTCGCGGTCTTCATCGTCCATGCCGCGGTCCAGGTCTGGGTCGTCATCCTCATCGTCGATGTCGGAGTCGGCTGTGCGCTCGTGTGGGTGGCCGGAGCTCGAGTTCGGGGCTCCCGATTCGAACGCTCCCCTCACCGCTGCTTGATAGTGGCGGAAAGCGATAGCTTGCTGTTGAATTTGCGACTCCACCACAGACCTGATGTCTTTTTCCTTCTCGGCTTGGCGGAGTTTCTCCTCCAGAGCGAGTCGAGCCGCCTGCTGTCGCTGCAGGTTCTCCATGACCGCCTCCAGCTTCATCCCGCTGCCGCCGCTCGAGTTACTGTGAGCGCCGGAGGAGCTGACCAGCAGAGGAAGAGTGCTCGCCGACGAGAAAGCGGCTTGCTGTGGGCAACAGAATGCAAATGTCACTACAAATTTTAGCTGGAAGCAGAATTGCGGGGGATTCAGACCCCCTTAATTAAGACTTAAACCCCCCTCCCCCCCCCAAAAAAACAAAATAGTTTGGGGGGGATCGTGGATGGTGTAGCTACAGCAAATATTATTTTTCATACAAATAGTTGCCTTTTTTTAGTACGTATAAAAGTTACATTTACAGTTAATCAGAACACATGTTTTAGCTAGGCTATCATTAAAAAGGCGGTAATGAACAGAAAAGTTCGTCAGGAGGTAACAACTGCGCTATTCAGACAGTACAATAAAGCATAAAACATGATGCATGACTTTATTGTAACTACTTTTATATATCAAAACTATAATCACAAAACTGTAGCTTTTGTTTTAGGTAACTGATGTTTAGCTATGGTAAAATAGGCTAGTGGCGCCAAATTACAATTCGCGGTGGGCAATAAGTGCCCCTCCAGATTGCTCACGAAAAATTGCATGTACATTTTATAGCTAGTTTAGCAGAATAGACAGGTCGAAAGTAGTTTCTATGTCAAAATTCCTTAAAAGGTAAGTCTATATGTCGAAACTTAAGTGTATTCCCATACTGGTTGTGATAATTAGGCAGCCAGTCTGGGTAGGCTACTTTAAAGATGGCAAAACTTGGCAAAACGTATAACTGATACACTGCAAATAATCTTGTCGTTGTCATAACTTAGCTCCCATCCACTGAACTTGACAAAGCTAATTTGTTATTTTTACTCAATTTTTCTTATCAGTAAGCTAATTAAAGTAGTCGGAAAAAGTGAACTTATCAGTGCAGGTAACTTAGGCACAACTTTGGTTTAATGCTACAATTTAAGTTTTTTTTCTTCTTATATTAAAATGTTCAAATGGCATTACCGATCAAATCAGTGCAGCACAGTTCATAGGATAAACGATTTTTGCATTGGGCTAGGCAAGAATCGTGGTTTCCTATGGAAATGATTCCACTAACAGGATAAACTATCTGACGGTCAGCATCAATAATGTTGTAAAAGCACGCAACGCCACATGTCTGATGTGATGTTACAAAAAACGACCTCGAATTAGAATTATTCAGTGACAGAAACATGACAATGTGTGTATTGTATATGCTGTGTTGCTAGCTATAGGTCGAAGGGCAGCGCGTGTCGAGCAACACAACATGCGCTAGTCTATAAACATCTGCGAAGTGCACTAAATATTGAACTAAAGTATATAAAATAAAGTGACAAGCTAAGCATAACGACATCTCTATTCTACCAGAGGAGCAAAAGCGCGTGCTTACCAGTGCAGATTTAGTTGCTATGCTTGTGTTGTCAACCATGCTTCTCCCGTCAAATGCGAAGAATTTGCTCAAAAGTGACCTTTTTCCCCCAACAAAGTCAGAAGTAGTTATATTCCCGTCTTAACATCTAGATGTGCGTCGTGAAAGCAAAGAAACAGCTTTTTATGAAAACGGTTTCGCGACGCGCTCGCGCTCTCTCAGCGACTTGGCAACAAGTGGCTGTAACTGTAGCGAGAATGACCTCCGAGGACTAGAGATCAGATCAGTCCCTCTGCCTCCGTCTGCTCTCCACACGTCAATACACGTGGATATAAGGCAATCAGGGCAGGGTCTGCACTCAGCCAACAGAAATACAGCTGAGCAGCTTCCTGCGCGCGCTTCTATTCAAATACAGCACTTTAAACTTTATTTGAAACTAATCGAACGCTTGAACAATCTATACATTTTAACTTAAACGGAATGCTCCGCCTTTAAGAGTTCAAGGTATAGAAAATGTAGAAAGAGCTGTTCAACTGTTTAAGAGGGTGTTTAGCTTTGCGAATGATAAGGTAGGCTAGTAATTATATCCTAATCTTACTCACGAGTTGTTCCTCAAAACAAATGTACGCATACCTTTATAGGCTACCCACTCTTTATGTGCTTCTGAACAAGAGCAGCGAATGACAGTTGGAAATGCGTCAAAGGTTTTACGTTTGTTGAAAACATTTCTTCATATCATAGATATATACACTAAAATATATGTTACATATAGCTATTACAGCATTTGATTCTAAGATGTGCAATTTAGGTAGGCTACTGAATTGAAATTATTTTTTAAATGATCTTTTTTTTTAATTAAATGTATAAAATGCAGCCCATGTTTACTCATCATCTTAACTCATACAGAACACAAGTCAGTCCATTGCATTACAACAGCATCTAGACGGACTTAAATAGTACAGATAAATATCACTATGAGTGTTGGTCTACTGTAAATACACCCTTCTGACTGCAGAACATATAATTGCCATTCACCATGTAATTATCCAAGATTTGTAATTATATGAAACGATAAACAGACTTATGATTGAATTCCATATAATTTCAGAAAAGTATTAGTCATTACCACAGTTCTTAGGGTTTTAGACTATTTTGCGGTAATGAAGCCAAATGTGCCTTTGCAGCATCCTCAAAGGCTGATAGATAGATAGATAGATAGACAGATAGATTGATTGACTGTAATTTGATGTCTGAATTAGCCCAGATAACACTGAACAGCAGGTAATTTCTCCCATGACCCCTTGCTCTCTGATTATGATGAAATAACCTATTATCTTTTGACCCCAATAACTCCTGCAAGAATCCTGTGTTGCTTTATGCCCTCGAACCGTTGAGCAAAATTGATAATCACTCCACAGTTACAATCCTTTCAAGTTAATGCAAGGCTAAGGTCTCTCGCTGACACTGATTAGGCTAGAATGGTTCATATGTTTGACACAGTGAACTGTACTCAGAGGAATTTCTTGATGACAAGTTTGAATTAACATGCTTTACACAATAAATTAAATTATATTGTCTGCATAACAACAGTGAGACTTTTTAGTTATAACTAAGATATGTTGGGACACATGCCAGAGATCAAATGCAATGATTAAAAGAAAAAAATAATAATTTATCAGATCGTCGAGGTTATGTAAACAAAAGCTCTCTTCCAACAATTTGAGGTAAACATCTCAGTGGGTTAAAATTCACAAAATGAGCAGAAATGGTGTAAGTAATGTGTTGTTAAACATCGCCACCTGTTGTTCATCATCGGTAAATACATCCAAACTATACTATAATTCAAAGCCTTTAGTGAGAGAGAGCTCAAATGTGTTTCATGTATTTTAGTAAGAAATGAATGCAGAATTTTTAAAAGAGGTTAAATATATTTTTCCACATTACTAATCCTAATGCATATTCTTTTTCACAACTTGGTTAATGATCCAGTTTCAGCTATAAACTTACGCTATAAAATAAAAATGACTCCGCAAATAACTTACTGAAAATCTGTCATTATTTTTCATAGCACTCACATGTTCAGAAACACTTAGCTAATGAACACATAAAAGCATTTGAGCTTGGCATCAGATGGCAGCTGAGTAAACCGAATAACACTTATACGGGTGGCTTAATTGAGCTAATAAAGCACAATGGTGTGATTGAAAGAAAAACAGCATCACCACCAATGACATCAGTGTATCTGACTCACTTATGTTACAATAACCATAACATCAAAATCCTGTCTACATTCATAATTTAAGCCAAGAATATGCCACAGGCGCAACAAATCAGTAATGATTTTCAGGGGAAATTTGGTCAAAAACTGTATTGCACGTTCAGAAATTCGTTCAAAAGATGTGAATGCTGGAAGGTCACATTTTTATCTGAACCAGTTCTACCCTACCTGACCTTGGTATGGTTTCATTAATAATCTAATTTGTTAAAATCAAATTTATTGTTTTAAGTGCATTACAAGAGAATGTCTTTTTTTCTGATCAATGATCAAATTAGAGTAAAGAACCAAAGAAAAAGAGAAGTATAGACACGGTCCATGCATTGGAAAGAGTAGGAGAGGACATGAGTAGAGGGCAGGGGGAAACAAGCAATTATGCTCAGCAGTGAGGTTACAGAAAGCATTGAGGAGTGATTTAGAAACAGCAAGCTCTATCACAAACAACTATTTCAGGTGTTTGAACTTTAGGTTTTCATCCCAACAGTACATTTTTAGGTGGATTTGATTTTGGGTTTACACATTTTGAAACTTTGCAAAGTTCTTAAAAGTTTGCTAAGTTTCAACAGATATTTCCACTTATATGAAAACCAATTTTTGCAGCTGGAAAAAGCTGCCAAGTATATGAAAAATAAATATGGCTGGTACAATATTTACCATACCAATATATACCAAACATTTTTCATGTTAATATTATGTACTGAATGCAATGCATAACATTGTTTATTCAGATGACGAAAGATTGTGAAGTGCTTTTTTAGACTCCTGTGAACAAAGGGGGTGAATTCCAAAAGATTTTACAGGAATATAAATAATGTTTATATTATTGTTAATGTTAATGTTATAGATATGTTATATATTGTTATAGATACAACAATAGCTGTATAATGATATACGGCTACTCTATGTGAATTTTGTAAATCTCTGAGAAAATAATTTTTACAGATCACCAGAATATGAGTGACTGACATAAATAGGAGAGCAAGTCAATATGTTGACCAAGAGCTGCATATTTAAGTTAACAGTTAAAAACAGAACAGCAGATGAATAAATCAATACTGATCAGGGTTATTGATCCCTGAAAACTTGGTTCAGTGTAAGAATTATTGTGGACCTTACTGTTTCCAATGCATTCCAATTATTCTTTTGCATTGAATGCAAAGCAAGTACCAGAATCCTGATAATGAACACATTGACTCATTTTTTTATTTATGTTGCAAGTTCTTGAAATGGTGTTTAAATCAGTTTCAGCTGGTGTGGTCCTCTATAATGCTACTGTACGTGCAATAACCTGTTCCACAACACAACTATCATACGTACCTACTATAATGCATTGGTGTGTGTGTGTGTGTGTGTGTGTGTATATAAGGGTAGGTCTACAAATGTTTGTAACACACTTGTAATTAGACAGTATTGATGTCATCGTGTTGAAAAGTCTGTGGGTTAAAAGGAAGGCTAGCTACTGTAATTACATCTCCTGCTCTCTATCTGAGTGCATTTTGGCTAATTATTCTCCCCCTCATGACTCATGACTGCTGTATCTTATTTAAAACCATTCTCTAAGGATTTATCAGTGTTAACACATGGAGGTGATGCTTTGAGAGGAGACCAGTATGTTGGAAAATGCAACTAAGGCTATATTAAAATAAATGTAATCTTAAAAATTAAACTACAGGTCCTTAGGGTGCATGTGTGTACAGTACATGTGTAGGCCAAATAAATGTATTCAGTTCCGAACCTGTTCTGTTCAGTTGTGCTTGTTGCAAAACCGAAAGTTCAGTCTGAGATTGAATGAATGATTAAGAGTGAAGAAGAGTTTCCAAAGCTAAATCAGTTTGAGGATTAATCTCCATCTGGAAAATACCATGGTCACGCACACTGTTGTAAAGAACACTGAGGGAAAATCACCAAGGCCTAAAGGTGCACTCAAGAATTTTACATTGCACTGATCACTCATTTTATACTGTATGACTTATACTGAGAGTCAACCGTGATAAATAATTTCCACAAGCAAAAGTTTCCCCTAACGGGGATTACAGGGGGATAATGTGAGACTGATCTCAACATGCCAACCTTCAGGTAACACACAAAAATCTTATGAGTTCAAATGGGTGTGTGGGGTGTAAAGACAATTACATTTCAGTAAAATGTATTGATACTAATCTGTTTGACACTACTAAACAAGGTCACTGAATAATTGAACTGAATTGATCTGAAAACCGCTACTGCTCAAATGGGAGTTTTAATTCCAATTCAAATGAATGATTAATTAATCCCTTTTTTTTATATGGACACAGTTTTTTCTGTTTACTACTGTAAACAATCTGTTTTCTTAGATGCCTTTGAGTGAAACAGCCAGTAGGTGTCTTCAAAAAAACACAACTGTAGTTCAGATAATGCTACTGTACGTGCAATAACCTGTTCCACAACACAACTATCATACGTACCTACTATAATGCATTGGTGTGTGTGTGTGTGTGTGTGTGTGTATATAAGGGTAGGTCTACAAATGTTTGTAACACACTTGTAATTAGACAGTATTGATGTCATCGTGTTGAAAAGTCTGTGGGTTAAAAGGAAGGCTAGCTACTGTAATTACATCTCCTGCTCTCTATCTGAGTGCATTTTGGCTAATTATTCTCCCCCTCATGACTCATGACTGCTGTATCTTATTTAAAACCATTCTCTAAGGATTTATCAGTGTTAACACATGGAGGTGATGCTTTGAGAGGAGACCAGTATGTTGGAAAATGCAACTAAGGCTATATTAAAATAAATGTAATCTTAAAAATTAAACTACAGGTCCTTAGGGTGCATGTGTGTACAGTACATGTGTAGGCCAAATAAATGTATTCAGTTCCGAACCTGTTCTGTTCAGTTGTGCTTGTTGCAAAACCGAAAGTTCAGTCTGAGATTGAATGAATGATTAAGAGTGAAGAAGAGTTTCCAAAGCTAAATCAGTTTGAGGATTAATCTCCATCTGGAAAATACCATGGTCACGCACACTGTTGTAAA